GCAGTGGCATTACTGAAAAGCAGCATGTGCTGGGAGGGATCGCATGAATCGGTGGTACTGTGGGATTTTCCTGATGTCGGGCTGGAGCCTGTTCCACAGTGATACACATTGGAATGAGGCAGAATGTGTGCCAGCGGATGTCTTAGTGACTGGAAATTTAAGTGCTCGATTTCCCTGACTACGTGTAGCACGGCCGGCATTAGGAGGACTGAACATATCGGTAAGCAATGTGCTGCATTTACCCTGAAGGCAGCGCCAAGTGTAGCCAAGCAGCTTGTGGCAGTACATAACTTCTAGCGAGTGCAATCGCAATTGGCAATACAGCGGCGCAGATGGTGATGCAAATGGAGCGTTGTAAACACAGCGGACTGCGCGCTTGAGTAGCCGCTCTAGGCGCTCGAGCTGATGTGAGGTGAGGCCAGCAGAGAAACAGTTGCTAGCATACAGGAAGTCAGGAAGGATCAGGGACTTCAGGTATGTGATGCGGCACGGGAGGGGCATGCAGCGCCTGTTTCTAAACAGGACAGCTATTTTACAGGCAGCTCGCTTGGCGATCTGGTTGACCATTGTGGTCCACTTTAGATCTTGGTCCATGTGGACACCAAGATACTTTGCGGATTCTACTTGTGCCAGCTGAACTCCAGAGCACATAACGCTGACACGAGGATTCACAGAACGATGGGCAGGGATGAACAAAATCTGGGTTTTACTCTCGTTTAGTACCAGGTTCCTGCTGGCAAGCCATCTGGCCAGGTGTGTAACTGCAGAAGACATATTGCGTTCCAGCTGATGTTTGTCCCTGCTACTAATATAGAGCATGATGTCATCTGCGAACTGAACTGTCCGCACACCATACGGTTGCACTTCAGCTGCCACACCACGGACATAGAGGACAAACAGCAGAGGACCAAGTACGGAACCCTGGGGCACACCACTGCTGGGCTGGAATACCTTGCTGTGCTGGTTCCCAATGACAACTCTTTGCTGCCGGTCACTTAAGTAGTCTGCCAGCCAATTCAGCGCACTTCCACCAACACCAATACTGAAGAGGTCGCGGATGAGGGTGCCATGTTGAACCTTGTCGAATGCCTTCGACATGTCAACAAAGGCGGCGCAAGTTGATAGTCCGGAGTCTTTGGCATTGGCAAAGGCCTCTGATGCCATCACAACAGCATCCTCTGTTGAGTGCTGTTTCCGGAATCCGAACTGGCAATCTGGGTAGAGGCTGTGGGTGGTCAAGAATTCAGTGAGTTGCGAATGTACGATGCGCTCAAGGATCTTTGAGATAATCGGCAACAGAGAAACAGGCCTGAAATTGGTGGCCTTAGTAGGGTCGCCGCTCTTGTACACAGGGGTGATATTTGCAAGTTTCATGGATAGTGGAAATCTCCCTTCGGAAAGTGACTTGTTGAAGATGAGAGTTACTGATGGAGCTAAGAGGTCAGAGCATGCTGCTAGTACAAGAGCAGGTACGCCATCACTGCCCGTTGACTTTGTCGTATCTACACTGCTGAGCAACTTGCGTACACATGCGATGGATACTGGCTTGAAACAGCAGAGATCAGTACTTGCATGCGGACCAGAGGGGATGGACAGCACCTTTGGGCGAGTCGCATCGGTGACGATGTCCGCAAACACTTGGCCGATTTCATCCGGGGGGCATTGAGGAGCAGTGTGGGTCCGTGTTCTGCCTGATACCTGGTTAATCACTCTCCATGTTTGTCTTGGCTGACCTTCCGCATTGGCAAACTGATCCTGATAGTAGCAGGCCTTGAGTCGTCGGTTAAGCTGGTTCACATCACGTCTGGTCTGGCGGAAAGCTTCATGGTCCACAGGGTTGCAGGTGCGTAGCCATTTGCGGTGGGCCCGGTTTCGACTAGATATTGTGGCCAGCAGGTTTGCATCCATCCAAGGAACATGTTTGCGTGTTTTGGTGCGGCGGGTCCTCAAAGGAGCATGTTTGTCTAGGATATCCAGGAACTTCTGCAGCCATCGAGTCCACATCTCATCACACGATCCATCCAAGGAGCACAAGTTTGCAGCCACGAGGTCATTGCGAAACATTTCCATGTTGATGCCTCGGAGGTGCCGAGTCTGCGGTTGAGCACTCTGGGGTGCACAGTCAGCAGTGGTTGCCAGGGTAGAGATGACAGCCGAATGGTCACTAAATGATACTGGGGAGACAATGGTTGGGGCTCTGCACAGCAACGTACTAAATACTAAGTCCAGGGTGGTTTGTGATCCCGTAATTCCGATTCTTGTGGCCTGACTCACACTTTGTGACAGTCCGAGGGTATTCGCGATGTCAGATAGATAGGAGAGTTGACCACTCTGGCAGCTATAGTCAACATTGAAGTCACCACAGATTATGACATCCTTTGGCTCCCTCATCGCACGAGTGAACGTCGCTTCCAGGGCCTGCCAGTAAGACACTCGCATATGAGGTGGCCGATACAGACAGGCAATGAGACAAGGCTTCGGCTGGGCCTTCACCTCTACCCAGCAGCACTCAATATCCTGTGTGGCAAGATCTGGCCGGGGGTGGCATTTCAGTCCGACATCAGTGTATATACACACACCACCACCCAAGTTCCCGCAACGGTCTAGGCGATGTAGGGTGTAACCTGGTATGGACATTTCTGCTGTTGTAATTGTACCATCGAGCCAAGTTTCTGAGACAGCTATTACATTGGGCACACAAGTAGAGGCCAGTTGCATTAGATCCTGCAGCTTCTGGCGGAGGCTGCAGATGTTCAGGGACAGTACTTTCAACGTGGAATGTGAACTAGTCATGATCTAATAGATTGTTGGTGGTCTTTTCGCATCTCGTTAGCTGGCATGATAGTTGCATCAAACCTGGTCTCGGTCACAACAGCGATGTCTACATTGTGGTGTGTGACAGTGTGGACAAATTCTCCGAATTTGTTTGCTAAGCTAAAAGCATTAGTCACCAGGAGGCGCAGTGACTGGGTCGAGGAGGTAGGTGGTGCTGTGGGTGTTACATTATAGTTATAGTTCTGCATTTTTTTGTTTTTTTTGTTTGTCAAGTCACGATTAGGCTCTGGCAAGCGGACTAAATCGTGAGCCTGGAGCTAGATTTGTTGGTTTCCGGGAATCCTTCTTCTTCCCCCCAGTTGCCAACTCTGGTGAGGACTCAGTGCTGGCATTCCTACCTCGTCGTTCAGGCGTGAACCAAGTGTGGATCGCTTCGGTGTTGATGTTTGATGCCACTTCTGATAGGAGTCGCTCTGTCCGTTCTAGATCTCGCTCTGCAATGTCTACTTCGACGTCCGCGAGGGGAGTTCTGGGGTGTGCTGTCATGCTTGACAGCGATCCCTGTGCGGACGACATGTCTGGCTCAGTATCTGTCAGGTTGTTCAGCGCTGAAGTAACCTCAGTAGTCCCCTCATCGACTTTCGTAGTTTTCAAATTCAAATCCGTTTCGAGCACTTCAGTGCTGACTGCGGGTTCTCCAACATTTGACCCCACAGGAGTTGCACTCGTACGACATCCAGTACTCGAGAGAGTACTCGGGCTGGTGCTGGGCCTTCTGCTGGAGCGTGCCGAGTCTGGCGACTCGTTTTGGACTCCGGTCTGTACGGTAAGTTCACCAGGTTGCCCTCCGACAGTTGCAGTTGCGCTTGTTCTGGTGTGCGCGGTTCGCTTGGCGTATGTCGTTCCTGTGGCGAGTTTGCAATCTGCAGCGATGTGTCCCGGTTGTGAGCATTTACGACAGGTTGCAGGCTGGCCTTCGTAGCGTACACGAAACAAGTTGTTCGTAGATGTTTTCACATACGACGGAATCTGCATGTTGGGGCGAAGAGAGAATGTGGCGAAGCGGATACCAGTGGCAATGGCGAGCCCTGACTTCGTCTTGACAAATCCATGGCGAAGAGGCCCAACGGCCGATCCAAAGACACCCAGGCTTTCGATAATAACGTCGTCCTGGACCCAGATAGGCACATCGTGAATTTGGATTTCCACGGAATCAGGCACCAGTTGAGTGACGCGCACTTCCACTGACATGAGATGGAAACCGTTTCGGCAAAGTCGTGTCAGAGTGTCTCGGGAATGAAACGTGGCCTTGCAGCTCAATTTACTGGTCAGCTGCACGGATATCAGGTCGGAGTAGCCATGTTCAATCAGGGCCTCAGCAACTTCGAGGGTTTTCGTGTGCAGTGGAACGTGGAAAGTCCCCGTGTTCCTCTTTAGAACTTTCGGAGAGACCGAATTCCAACTGCGATTTTCGCCGGACGTGGGCATTTGGAACGCTCTAACTATCTACTACCTAATTTTAAACTATCCAGCCCCTACCCTGCTCCAGACCGGCCTGCTGCCGGCTGGCTCCTACAAAACCTGCGAAAAACTACGGAGCTCAAAAAAAAGCTAACTGCACTATTGAGCGACTCTGACTCACGCTGCTACCTTGGGCGCGGCTGCGCGGAGACTTTGGTGTTGCTCTCGCAGGCGGACATCGTTTGGAGAGCGTGAAAGAAGTCCGTGGGCCTTGTTTCGTTGACGCACAGCAGATACAAGTTCAGGATACAACCATGGGCAAGGTCGGCGCCTCGGCTTACGAGGAGGTTGTAAGGAGGCGTGACAATCTAGAGCAGTAAAAAACCTTTGCTTACCATTCGCTTATCATTGCATCAACATCATTCGACTTGCTGAAAATCTCAAGATTGCAGTCCTGCAAGTCAGCGTTAAAAGTTCACTGTACAGTGTACAGCGTGCGTCGTACAAGTATGACGGTCGTGGGGCATGCAACTCACGTGCGTCGTACTAGTACGACGCTCGCGCTGAAGGGGTTAAGCGACCAGCCCATGGTGCAAGCGAAATCAGTGGTTAAAGCCAGGTGGTCTTTAGAACCAGGTCCCACAGCGTCTGTGTAAAAGTGTCGGTGCATGGAAAAGCGGTTGTGAAGAGCACATGGTCGCTAAACCAAGAGGTCGCTTACACCAGGTTTTCCAGTCCTTGGAAAGAAAGTAATTTACACTTACTATAACATATCGGCACTGAGCTCAATGTACCATCACCGTTGCATGTAGCTGAGGAATTCCCCCACAGAAAGTATGTATGCTCACATGTAAACAGAACAGTAGCACCATATTGAACGAGTGAAGCATTACTCATACCATTTTGTATAACTGGTACACTGCAATTGAGAACTGTACATAAGGTCAACAGAGAAGAAGAACAAGAAAATGAAATTAATTATCCCCATTCCAATCTCGGCCTTAGATTTTACGACTTCGGCGATATTAGTCATTCCTCGTAAACTCCAGATGGCAGTCTTGAGTCAGTCAAGTGGCAAGGTCGGCCAGAAGTATGTGTTCCTCTTTGGAACAACCAACTTCGTGTCCAATCTCGGCGTTAGAACATTTTCGGCTCGTATTCTGATGCACTGCCAACTGGTTGCTGCGCTTTCATTCACCTTCAAGTTGACCTACCTTCCAACAACAAGCCCATTCTTCCACCTCCAGCCAACCCCCTCACCAGTGGGTGGTCGATCCACTAGGTTAGCCACAGAGATGGCCAACCGGCACCTGCTCCAACTCAAGTCAAAGTTGCCCGTGAGCTCTCGTAGCAGCCTCCAGGGTTACTACCAAGACTGCAGAAAAGCAACAAGATGTTTTTTCAAATCAGTTAGAGTATTTGCAAAGATCCTAGTGATTATCAAGAATCCAGTCCCTGAATATGTTTGCTTGCCTCTGTGTGCTTCCGCACACTGGTTCTGCTGCACGGTGCTTACCATCATATCGACAAGAGATATCACTAGCCATTGGTTTAGGCTCCATTTGATCATTTTGTCGAGGAAGGCATGCTAAACAAATGGGCAAAGAATAGAAGAAGGTTGTTTATCCAATAATCAAATTTGTTATTTTTGACAGAATTCAGGGTGTTTCAATAAGTGACTTTTTTGCACTGAGTTTAATTTTAAGCTAGCCACGTGCAGGGAGCATGTAATTCATGAGAGGTTCACATCCACTGAATCCCTGAGCCCCCTGAGCCCCCTGGGTGCCTCCGATCACTTAATCGTCCTCGGCAGGCTCTCCATAGCTAAAGACATAGCACAGTCTCGAGAGTCCACATCTGACACTGCACCGCCTCGCTTCAGCCATCACTTGCTCACTCAATCGCAATGGGAAGGCGTCAATGCTGAAATTGCCGCAACTCACTGGAGTGACCTTTTATGCGGCCTTGATATTGATACAGCCGTTTCTTACTTCTCGTCTGTCCTCGAATCGTCTCGCTCACTCTGCTCTTCTCACTGCGATCACCAGTCAACCACCAGAAACCGAAGCCGCCCTTCACGCCAGGATCCACCATGGATGACACCAGTGCTCAGGGCAGGCATTAAGAGAAAGCATGACCTCTACAGCATCTATAAAAAATACCCTACCCCGTCCAATGCAACGCAGTACAAACGTCAGCGGAATATAGCAAAAACGTTATCATGTGTAGCCCATAAAGAATACATCCTGTCCATTACTACTTCTCTTACCGACAGCCAGCGTCCATCACTTCACTCATTTATAAGAACTCTTCGTAAATCAGCATCGTCATTGGGCTCTAGTCCAACAGCAATCACACGGTCTGACCAAAGTTCCGCCACTGCGCCTCTTGATATTGCGGATGCTCTGAATGAGCAGTTTACCAGCTTCTGCGTTAAGGATAGACCTGAATGGTTAGTTCCTCCTATCCACCAAATGCCTGTGGAGTCAACGTTTACATCGCTGACGATTTCATCCCGTACTGTAACCAGATACATACGCAGTCTCCCCAATAAGAAGTCTCCTGGTTACGATGGTATACCAAACGAAATCCTGAAACATCTCCAAGACAGCCTAGCATATCCGTTATCGCTGCTCTTTAACATCTCTCTGTCGTCTGGAATCTTTCCCTCCGCATGGAAATACGCGTTAGTGGTCCCAATTTATAAGCGCAAAGGCTGCCGGTCGGATGCAACGAACTACAGACCCATCTCCCTACTGTGCTGTATTTCAAAGCTGTTTGAGCGCATTGTGTACGATCAGCTATATCGACACTTGTCCCCGTACTTGCATACCATGCAGTCTGGTTTCCGGCGAGGGGACTCCACAGCTCTGCACCTAGTCCACCTAATTCAAAACATCATGCAGTCCCAACATTTGAAAGAACATACTGGCATGTGCTTCTTTGACCTGGCGAAAGTCTTTGACACTGTTTGGCATAGAGTATGGGTGAAACGATTAGTTCGAATATTCGAGTATTCGTTCGAAAATTTCAAACGAGCGAGTATTCGAAATTTTGCACTCGATGGTTTTTTTAAATTTTAAATAATATTTTTTTAGTACTGTATTGGCATTCTATTTTTCAAAAACTCTGGTTGTACCGCTCGTCCACTGGTATGTATGCATTATGCATGCCTTAGAGTCAGTATTTTATGACTTGGACGATGCGATCACCACGGCGAGTCACGTTAGTTAACGTTCTGAGATATGAAAATACTGATGAAAATCGTTACTTTACACTCTGTACAAGACGTTGGCGACTCTTTTTCTATGTTCACAGGTAATTTCTTCCGGTCGAGAACTCACAAATCTAGCGCTTTTGAATTTTGATATAAAATACTCGAAATAATCGGATACTCGATCGAATATTATGAATAAGTGATCGATTGGTCAAAATAGATACTCGTTTCACCCCTAGCATAGAGGCCTGATTGCCAAGTTGGGTGCCTATGGCATTGGTGGCAACCTGCTTTGTTTCTTTGAAAGCTACCTAACTGACAGGTTACAGGCTGTACGTGTCGGCAACACCCTCTCGTCTCCCCAGGCAATTAATTCTGGTGTGCCACAGGGGTCAATCCTGGGGCCACTATTCTTTTTAGTCTACGTCAATGATCTACCGATGTCTGTCCCTAATGTTTCACTGTTCGCCGATGACACCACAGTTTCCGCTTCAAGTAGTTGCAAGCAATTGTTAGTCAATGACCTCCAGAAAAAGATAAACTCCACCATTTCTTGGATGTCGACTTGGAAGCTGAGACCGAACACTAGTAAGACCAAAGTGATGTTCTTCTGTAGCGGTGCTAGTGATCAGTTCTGTAATGTGTCTTTATCATGTCCTGGCAGCTCATCGACCATAGAAATTGTCCATGAACATAAGCACCTTGGTATAATTATTGACGACTGTCTAACATGGGCTCCTCATGTAGACTATATTTGCAAGAAAACTAGTAGTGTTCTCGGCATACTATATCCTCATCGTTCTCTTTTGCCAAATACATGCCGTTCTATGTTTTATCACTCGTATCTATTACCTATTTTCCAGTATGCATGTCAGTCTTGGTGTAGTCTAAGTCAACATCTTGTGAACAAACTTGAAATCCAACATAAATCTCTTCTTAAAATATTGTTTAACAAGCAGCGTATATTTCCTAGTCTTGAGCTCTATTGTATCAGCAATACTCAGCCACTTCAAGATAATCGCAAACAGCAGCTTTGCGTTTTGATCCACAGAATTCGCCTAGGTAAAATTCCCATTCATCTCTCCGTATTCAATTGGTTTTCTCTGTCCCGGCCCACTCGTAATAGTGTCTCACTTCCCCGTGCTAATTCAGCCGCATTTACCAACTCTCCTCTGTTTTTGTCCTACAGCCTTTGGCTGCAACTTCCCCAGCTTGTTAAGACATCAAAATGTCTTTCCAGCTTTAAAAATGCACTCCGATCGCATAATGTAGTACGATAGAATCTCATTGCTGGATTCTTGTCTATCCTTCTTTCTTCCCTTTTTCTATATTCCTTTCTTTTCTTTTCTTGCCGTGGTTGGCTATCACCCCTCTCTCGCACTTTGCGTGCCAATTGGTCATGAACAACGAGTTGAGTGATATAAATAAAATAAATAAATGGAGAAATCCCGCAATCATGGCCAGTCACTGCGAAAAAGTTCGACGCTTCCCGTGACTGAAATGTAGAGCGAGATATCTCTGAAACGCGACATCGTAGCTCTTCGGCGAGTGTTGCATTAGAAAACTGAGCTCTTCGGCTTCTTAGAAATCCGTCCAGTTTTGATTGAGTTACGAGCATTTAATTTTAAGCTAGCCAAATGCAGGGAGCATGTAATCCAAGAGGAAATCCCGCAATCATGGTCAGTCACTGCGAAAAAGTTCTACTTTTCCCGCGACTGAAATGTAGAGCGAGATATCTCTGAAACGCGACATCGTAGCTCTTCGGCGATTGTTGCATAAGAAAACTGAGCTCTTCGGCTTCTTAAAAATCCGTCCAGTTTTGTTTGAGTTATGAGCGTTTTAGTCAATCAACGGTATACCAGATTTGAATGTAAGGGCTCCATAGGGGTTAAAGGGCAACGGTATCGACGTTTCAAGTAGGGTCCAGAATAAAGAGAATTTGATATTGGTTTGAATGGCATATCTCTCGCTTCCGTATGATAAGCCAAACTTGCCAAATCGCCAATTGTATGCTCACGTTGCCCTAGCGTTCATGCACCACGCCGATCGAACCGTTAAATAAATTAGTTGACGTGAGAAGTGCTGTACTTATTTGAGTGTGTACAAGTTGCCTGTAAATGAATTGCCCTCATTTTAGCTTCACGAGGCGTCCTTCACAATTTTTAAGACCCGCACACACACCCGCACAAAGACACACAACCCTTACTAAAGAAAATGAAGACCGACTTACGTATTTCACACACAACACGCAAAAGCTGCGCTAGGCCACTTTCTTGGCCGTTGGAGTTACGTGCTACATTTCCTTTTGGCAATCCTCTCCATGCAATGGCGTGTATGCTGGTTAAACCAACCGAGCACAAAGCGTGGAACGACGCTTCAGAGAGGATTGTACCATTGTGCCTGCTACACAGTGCTTGAGCAGAAGTGTAATTCAATTTGAGGCCAGGAGTTGATATTCTAGTTATGCTACCAGATGCTCTGCAAATTCTGTTGCCAATCAGCTCTGCAGTGACATAAACACACACACACAAACACACCCATACACACACACACACACAAACACACACGAACACACACCCGCACACACACCCGCACAAACACACACACACACACAACCCCTCCACCCCCCCCCCCCCCACACACACACAACGAAACCAACAGGTAGCAGTCATATAATATTAATTATGGCAGCCAGTTGAACTCACTGCCATCGTGGTTAACACCTTGGAGAAAAATTAAAAAGAATGGCTAATGAAAATAGAATCTGATGCTTGTCTATGTGTAGAGGCCCTTAGAGACGGTCCAGGCCTGTCGCACCGACTTTGGAGGTGGGGCGGCCATGGAAGGGGGGGTCCGGAGGTCCTCCCCCGGGAAAATTTCAAAAATTGAAGCCAATTGCAAGCATTTCCAGGTATTTGGTTCCATTTCAGTGTACGGTAACTACAATGAAGTCTTTTTGATTCTGCAACAAACGAAAAAGACGCTACGATCGGGGAGAAACATTACCCTCCCCGGGAAAAATTCAAAAATTGAAGCCAATTGCAAGCATTTCCAGGCATTTGGTGCCATTTCAGTGTAACTGCAATTGTTGTGAAACGACAAGTTCTCGAGAGTGAAAGGCCTTCTCGCTTGTGACATTGTGTTCGTTTCAATGCAGCTGTATCCCGACTCCGCCATATCGCTGATGTTTACGACGAGGCATACGCTACAGGCGCTATGTGCGGTTTGCTGTGTGCGCTGTAGTCGTATGTTGTATGTGTATGCTTTTCTCATATACGCTTTCATTTTCACGTTATAACTACCTGGTGGTTTTAGTGTTAGTTATTCAGTTGTTCATACATTCATTGTTCATTAGTATTAGTCGATGGAAGTGAGATATACTGTTGAGAATAAATAGTTGTCCTCGTGCCGTGTGGGGTCATTCGTTCCTGACACTTTAGAGAACCAGAGGGTTCACAACATTTGGCGACCACGCCAGGATACGAAGCGAGCATGGCACAGGAACTATGGATCATTGAAGCCAGCTTTATCGCCAACGGAATTCGGTATGGATTTGAAGGCGATAGGGTGAGAGAATACGTGGAGAAGAGGCTCCGACAGAGCGAGGAGTTTGAAGAGCGCAGTGCTAGACGGCAAGAGTGTGCGCTCCGCGCAGAGTTTAACGAAAAGCTCAAGAAGATGGCCGAGCGCATCGCCATCAGTACATATTATGAGGAAGCAAAGCGAGATTTGCTTGCCTCGCCCGGAAGGACGCCGGACAAGGTGTGTAAGACTTTGCTTACAGACAAGCAGCGGTCAGAAGAGTGGTTGAAGCCAGTGGGAGGATCAGATCCAAGGCCCACTGCGTCGGTACAGAGCGTGGCAACATCGGTCGGAGACGCTCAGAAGCAGCTGGAGTCTCGGCCAAACCATGTATAAGCACAAGACGTAGACGCGCAAGACGTAGAAGCGCAAGACGTAGAAGCGCAAGACGTAGAGGCGCAAGACGTAGAGGCGCAAGACGTAGAGGCGCAAGACGTAGAGGCGCAAGACGTAGAGGCGCAAGACGTAGAGGCGCAAGACGTAGAGCCGCAAGACGTAGAGGCGCAAGACGTAGAGGCGCAAGATGTAGAGGCGCAAGACGTAGAGGCGCAAGACGTAGAGGCGCAAGAGTTGGAGGCGCAAGAGTGGGAGGCGGAAGAGTTGGAGGCGCAAGAGTTGGAGGCGCAAGAGTTGGAGGCGCAAGAGTTGGAGGCGCAAGAGTTGGAGGCGCAAGAGTTGGAGGCGCAAGAGTTGGAGGCGCAAGAGTTGGAGGCGCAAGAGTTGGAGGCGCAAGAGCTGGAGGCGCAAGAGTTGGAGGCGCAAGAGTTAGAGGTGCAAGACTTAGAAACGCAAGGCGTAGAAGCCGAGAAAATGAGGAGGGCGATACTGGTTAGCACGGAAGAAGTAAGCAGCGAGACTGTGTGGAACACAGAGATCCGATGTGTGTCCTCGGATTCCGCGCCCGCCCCGGGTCGAAGCAGTGTACCGGTGACCGTGTCGTGTGTGACAGCCCACATCGTCGAGCTTTATGACATTATCTGTTGTGTGTTGTCTGGTCCAGCGTCCGCCCCATGTCGAAGTGGATCGGTGACAGTGTCGTGTGCAACGGCCCACCACGGCAAGCTTCGCTAAATCGAGTTGGCCGAAGTGGTGGGCATTAGTGATATTCTACCATGGCCACCACTGCAGCAGAAGATGACACAGGCGCTATGTGCGGTTTGCTGTGTGCGCTGTAGTTGAATGTTGTATGTGTATGCTTTTCTCATATACGCTGTCATTTTCACGTTATAACTACCTGGTGGTTTTAGTGTTATTTTCAGTTGTTCATACATTCATTGTTCATTGGTATTAGTCGATGGAAGTGAGATATACTGTTGAGAATAAATAGTTGTCCTTGTGCCGTGTGGGGTTGTTCAATCCTGACACTTTAGAGAACCAGAGGCTTCACAACAGCAATGAAAGACTTTTTTCTGCAACAAACCACGATCGGCACACTGGTTCTGCTGCACTGTGCTTACCATCATATCGACAAGAGATATCACTAGCCATTGGTTTAGACTCCATTTGATCACTTCGTCGAGGAAGGCATGCTAAACAAAATGGGCAAAGAATAGAAGTAGGTTGTTTATCCAATAATCAAATTTGTTATTTTTGACAGAATTCATGGTGTTTCAATAAGTGACATTTTTGCACTGAGTTTAATTTTAAGCTAGCCACGTGCAGGCAGCATGTAATTCAAGGAGAAATACCGCAATCATGGCCAGTCACTGCGAAAAGTTCGACTTTTCCCGTGACTGAAATGTAGAGCGAGATATTTCTGAAACGCGACATCGTAGGTCTTCGGCGATTGTTGCATTAGAAAACTGAGCTCTTCGGTTTCTTAGAAATCCGTTCAGTTTTGAGTGAGTTACGAGCGTTTTAGTTATTCGACGGTATACCAGATTTGAATGTAAGGGCTCCATAGGGGTTAAAGGGCAACGGTATCGACGTTTCAAGTAGGGTCCAGAATAAAGAGAATTTGATATTGGTTTGAATGGCAAATATCTCGCTTCCGTATGATAAGCCAAACTTGCCAAATGGCCAATTGTATGCTCACGTTGCTGTAGCTTTCATGCACCAAGCCATGTGTTAAACCCTCATTCATGTTGACTTTTTCGTACATTCCCAGTATATTGGGGTCCGTTCGGTCCCCAACCATATTTCGCTGAGTATCCATGAGCTCAGACCGTATTTAAGAGTTTTTGTTCTTGTGTTCCTCTTCACGTATATCACTGCTGAAAGCAAACCACGTTTTTCAGCAGAAAGGTGGAGTATGACGTGAAGGAGACCTGAAACCAGCAATTGAGTCTTTCCGATTATATCGCGGAAAAGTAGAGGAATGTGGACCAACACGAATAATGTTTGTGTTGGCACACACAGATGTTTTCTTCTCTGACACACATACACGAACTGCGTTGTTTTTATGGAACTGGAGCTAGATATTTTGGCAACTGCTGCTCAAACAGGCTAAATAAATGGACACGAATGCGGATTCCATTCGCACCCCGGACACGTATGTTTGATTCTCCAAATAGTTTGAAGAATATACTGGGTTGTATAGTCCCTTATGATGCTCTGGTAGACCATTCACTAGCTGGAAGCAAAATATTCCCCTGGACACCCGACATATCGCAGATTGTACAGAACAATGCAGTGTGCTCAACGATTGATGAAAACGTAATATGCAAGGAAGGCCCTGACCTTGTTTGTGGTCACAGTGGGCACCTTCGGCAACTGACTTGTCCTGGAGCAGCACCAGGTGTAGAAAGCTCTGGAAATCTAAGCAATATCAAAGCTCCCTGGCTTTCGTGACATGTGTCAACGCAACACTGAATACGAGCATTCACAAAATCGGTATCGAGCTGCCCCAAGAAAATGAGATGCCTGGATGCCTTCTCATTGGTGATGCAGGCAGGCCTGTTGGACAACTCGATGATATATCCTGCAGGCTACATCTTATGGGTAGAAAAATTGCCCCGGGAGGCACCGTTGCGTCTTTCGCTTTGCGGTGTATGTTGTACACAATTTGTCGAGGTTATCTTAGGCACTCCTGCTGTTCAAGTGGAAGAGGATTTCAGGGTTCTGATTTGGTCCCGAAATATCCATGTTAGAATGAATTGAGGAGAGCGAAGCCATAGGTGATCAACAACATACCACCTATTGTACCTGACTACGATATAGGTTTCTGGGGTCCAAATGGACCCAATGCATGATTTCCGAAATAAAATTTAAACCAATCAAGAACTTCTAACCCAGACAATTTGATTTTCTCTCATATAGTTTTTGAGGAATACCTGTAATTTCATCCTGATATCATGAAAGAAAATAAAGATATACCAAAAACCAGACCCCTGGGGTCCGTTTGGAGCCCACAACCTCGGAATGAGGGTTAAGTTGCCCGGTATTTTGGAAAGTCGAATATGATGGATAAGACATCATGATTCGTGGTCTTTCTAGGAGAGGTCTGGTCGAGGGTAACATAATACATTATAGAGAGCGATCCTAGAAAGGGACTTGGGCAACCTTTGCGTGCTGAGTACGAGTTAACTCGCGCTTTATGCATGACCTGATCCACTAAGTAAAATACATTATCGTGTCCGTTCCCTTCGGGAACAGACACGATCCCAAAGGGAACGGACAAAGGCCGCTAACACCCGATAAACCCTAGCGGCAGATGCAGCGCCTAACGGTGGGGGTGAGTGGATACGTCTCACAACCACTGCCACAAGTGCCGAAAACGACCCCATTAGCTGCATCCATGTACCCCTTAAGGTTTCTGGGGTCCAAACGGACCCAATGCATGATTTCCGAAATAAAATTTAAACCAATCAAGAACTTCTAACCCAGACAATTTGATTTTCTCTCATATAGTTTTTGAGGAATACCTGTAATTTCATCCTGATATCATGAAAGAAAATAAAGATATACCAAAAACCAGACCCCTGGGGTCCGTTTGGAGCCCACAACCTCGGAATGAGGGTTAAGTTGCCCGGTATTTTGGAAAGTCAAATATGATGGATAAGACATCATGATTCGTGGTCTTTCTAGGAGAGGTCTGGTCGAGGGTAACATAATACATTATAGAGAGCGATCCTAGAAAGGGACTTGGGCATATGATGAAGAACCTTAACCTTTGCGTGCTGAGTACGAGTTAACTCGCGCTTTATGCATGACCTGATCCACTAAGTAAAATACATTATCGTGTCCGTTCCCTTCGGGAACAGACACGATCCCAAAGGGAACGGACAAAGGCCGCTAACACCCGATAAACCCTAGCGGCAGATGCAGCGCCTAACGGTGGGGGTGAGTGGATACGTCTCACAACCACTGCCACAAGTGCCGAAAACGACCCCATTAGCTGCATCCATGTACCCCTTGTGCCTGGCCACAAGTTCCCAGTTGACACAGTGGGTTGGTCAAAGACCATGATTGAGATACGAGAGGTACCTGGTTAAGTCCTGCCTGGGAGCGGTTTTTCCAGCCATGCTGCTACCCTGATCCACTACGTACGAGTAAACTAGCAAAAAATTTGTGCGATATATCGCAGTGCATAGACCAGTGTACAAACTTTCGTAACTTCATCAAACATAAATGCATAGCGACATTCAATCCACCGTTGGAAAGTACTTGACCTCATTTTTCCGGGGTATAACGTTCTTCGCGATAGGAAGAGAATTCATTGAGCGGCAACAAGATGAACACGGAAATAACGGGACAAAGGGAACGCGACTTTTTTTGTTCCTGACTTCGTTTTTTTTAGGAGCGTGCCAGGATATTTCCCATTGGCACGGCGCATGCGTGGTGGACATCCACTGAAGCTCATCAATCTCAGCTTTGCATCGCAGTTTTAATTGTGAAAATAGGAGGATATCAGTTTGAAAGGCTTTTGCTCTTGCTCTTGCTCTTGCTTGCATACGAGCGGCAACAACACGAACATGGAAATCACGGGCCAAAGGGAACGTGAATTTTTTGTTCATGACTTCGTTTTTTGTAGAGCGTGCCAGGGTATTCTCCTTTGGCACGGCGCATGCGTGATCGACATCCACTGAAGCGCGTGGATCTCAGCTTTGCTGTGCAGTTTGACTTGTGAAAATCGGAGGATATCAGTTTGAAAGGCGTTTCTCTTGCTTGCATACGATCAGTCAAACTCGCCAAATCGGCAATGGTATGCTGTCGTTGCCATAGCGACAGATGCAGTGATGACATACTTTCGGCTTAGCTCCCCCAGATTGCAGGTCGATCCCTGCAGAATTTAGTCATTTTCAATTGGTCTATTGTATTAACGAAGTGAAAGAAGGGCTGTGTTCAATGCTGTTAGCGAACTGTTTGTCAGGCCACGGTCACCCGAGCTCGATTCCGCCATTCAGCCAAAAAATCACTTGTTTATGTCACTATTACCATGGAAATGGCTGAACGGCGACTTTCTGCTGTTTTTCTGCTTGTTTGAGCCACAGCTTTTACAAGCTGCTGAAGGGCGGAATTAAAAAAAGATTTTGAAATCACTTGGAGCACACGATGTAGTGGACAGGAGGTCGACAAACTGATATCGATGTTCTCTCTTGTTTCTACGTGTATACCTTCGCCTTGGCTGTGGTTTTGACAGTGTCTGACTATCCAACAGTTCAGTTTGTTTTTCTCCAAGGACCATGGATCCCTGGACTGCAACTCTAGAGGGTAGATTGGTGGAGCTATGGTTCGAGGCAAAAACAAGGCCCCAAAGCAACAACTGAATTCCCGAAGAAAGGTACGAAGAAGAGAATTGATTGCGACAGATTTGAAGAACAGCATTGGCGGAGCAGAAAGCTCAACATCAGGAAACAAAATCACATGAATCATCGCGTCCATGCAAACCGAACAAATAATGGCGATTTTTCGTGACTTTACCGTACACAGTGAAGTGGTGCGAAATTTGAAACTTGAAAAAGAGTCCAAAAAAGGCACCTCAACTGGGGTTCAAACCGCGCAATGTACTGTCTCAGGCGGAGTCAAATGGCCTGGATTTTCATGGTTTTCCTAATTCAGTACTGGCAAAACTTGGCCAAAATCCTATTCTTGTTAGGCATTGTTTTTGGGAGAAATACATATCAGAAACACAATGGAAAGAGGATTCCACAAGGGATTGCAGAGCACGAATTCTAAGAAAACTGAAAGATTAACCCACTTATGGCAATAACCTAGAAGTCCATCTTTTTATGAATCGACTATAGGCCTCAAGTGTATTCTTTTTATGCGCTTCTTCTTCAAATTTTCAGTATTTCACAAAAGTACCAAAGTACGCAGACGATCTGCTTTTATGAGGGAGCGCATTCAATCGTGATTTTCAGGCCAAAGAACTGATGTGCAGCACATGGGTTTTTCGATGGTAGGTGATTCCGTCGGTTTTCAGCAGAAGTTTGCAATTACTTCCGAGTGTGGTACGGTAAACGATCATGGTTTACAGAGAGAAAAACGAATGTGTCAAATTCAACGGATTCGTCCTATTTACGGTAAAGGGTATTAAAACCACATTATCAGCTCTTTTTTGAGCTGGCTTGTGTAAGGAAAAGAAGTCTCTCTTCTAAAGAGACTGAAGGTGGACTTACGAAATTCGCACACTACGAGGAAATGGCGAGACAGGTCTACTCTGATACCAAATGTAGTCAACGCTGTGATATTCTTGTCAGGTAATCCTCTCCACGCCACTCTGACAGCGTCTGTCAAGCCATTTGCGCATCCATCCTGGAACGATGCTTCAGAGAGAATTGTGCCATTGTGACGGCTGCACAGTGCTTTCCCTGAAGTGTAACTCAATCGGCGGTCAGTGGTTTTTGTTATGGTCATTGTTGTCCCGCAACCTCTTTCGCCCGTCAGCCCTTCAATAATAAATAAGAGATCAGGAACAAACACAGACCATGAGAACAAAGACCTTGTGTGCAAGGATCCTGCAAAACCACCTGCTCGTGCGTGGGTGTGGGTGTGTGAGGGGGGGGGGGGGGAGTGGCCATGGCTGATTACACTTGCGACAATATATGTGTGTGAGTGCAGTTGATTGCGGAAGGGGTGCTTCGGGGTCGGTCAATTCACATTTTAACAATATACTTAGTTAGTAATGGTGTGTCATCAGGTACATTGAAAATCAACCCACTTTTGTGAATCGAACCTTTGTCAAGCGTCTCCTTTCAACGAGAACAAGGCAAAGGTGGCTAAATGAAGACTAGAGGAAGAGAGTCATCCTCTCCACTTCACCATCACGACACTTACAAAGATACGAAACGAAACAGCTTAAAAAATTTACAAGAAAACTGTACGCCCACCGCCGCGTTCACTTTGGTCTGAGAAGTTTCTATGAACATAAAATATACCCGGAGCACTCGAAAATATAATCTTTGACGCTCTCTATTCCTTTTCCAAGTCAAGGAAGTCAACTCTCAACTTTCAAACTGGGAACAATGCATAAGCATGGTCCTTTTCCGCTGCTCCACAAGCACAGGAAATGTTCACCAAAGGCCGCACAGCAGGATCCATTCCGGCCAAACAGCTAAAATGCAAGTAAACCAGCAGTGCTTGGGTACATGATGACATCAGTCCAGTTATGCAATAAATAATCAATTTCAGCGTTTCTGCTGATTGTGAAAGGCACAGGCATGCAGGATCAACTCCTTTTGCTTTGCACCTGACTTAAAAGTGCATTGGGCTTGCACCCCATGACATGAGGCATACGATATCATCTTACACATTAAATTTTGTTCTGTGCTGGTGCACTCAGGCTTTACGGGGTCGGTTCAGCGCTTTTTACAATAACGGACATGTTCATACAAACTCCACCCAACAGCTTCTCCTTTCCCAAAACGCTTCACGCTTTCTTTTTGTGCGCCTTGCGAAAAACAGAGCGCAACACCGCGTGCACAGCGTAGGATGTTGGAGCCTTCTCGATGCAAAGTACCAAGGGCACATGATCTGGACCTGATGGTGAGCCGCATTGAGATTACATGAGAGACTCAAACCAGTAAGGATCCCTCTCCTTTCTTCTTTGAAAACGACCAGTTCGGCGCAACTCTCTAAAACAGGATTGCTCTACTTTTGGGCAAAAGCTTGTTTATTTTAGCTGATCCTAGCTCATGTATTAGCTAGCTGTGCAGTAAAACCCTAGCTGCATCTCATGTTTGGCATTTAAGTGGTCTTTGTAAAAATTAAAATTAAAATAAACCTGGTTTAACCTCTTTAGCACGGCGCTACCTGAACGCGCCCCACGTCAACACCTGTAAAAGTCGCATTTTCCCATGAAAGTACTAGCTGCTCAAGGATCGATAACTTTACCTTCCCTTGGACGAATTCCATGATCTTGAGCTTTCTGGAAAGGTCTTGAGACGAGGGACAAACTGGTGTGAAACCCAGCCCAGAGCAAAACCAAAACTCCGTGCTACAGTCTGGCAAACTTCATCCACGCGCTCGACAGACTTGAGCACGGCCAAGACTAACCGAGCTCAACTATTCAGCTGCCATTTCAGTCTCCTTGCTCGTATCGAGCTCAATGTTTTTGTAAGGACTCATGGGATCCATTTGAATCTTGTTTCCATGGCAGCCGGTAGCGCAAAAATGATCCATGATGGAAAATATGCGTTCAGCAGACTGCTAAAAAAATAGAGTTGCAATTTTCCGTGTCTAGTCGCATATCTCAACTCCCGCTAGTCCTATCGCTTCGGCGATTGTATGTATCGCCAGCTGCGAGTTTTCTCTTGCAGATTCATGTTTCGATTGTGAGAATCGACCAAGTATTGAGTGAGTTACGATAGTTTGAACAAGTCACTATGGACTTAACACGGACCCCACGACTATGAAATGCAGGTTTCAAATCTTTATTCTCACGATAACCAGTGGCCAATAAGAGATAATAGTGTAAGAAAGGAGAAAGAGGTTGTTGTTGTTGTTGTAGAAGTTTATTTAACGTCGCACCACAAACAGGCGATTTCGCCTCCTTTGGATGACAGAAGGAATGAGAGAGGGGGGGGGGGGGAGGACAGAAGTACGGAAAGAGGAAGGGTAGAAATAAAATTAAAAAGCATTTAAACGGACCCATGATGCGCTTTTAGCAGGGCACAGAGCTGAAGGTGGCTGGGCTCGGAACAGAGATCAGGCGGGAGCTGGTTCCACAGGACTGCGCCGATGAACTGCATGGTCGCTCGACCTGCAGGACCTGGCCAAAATGGTACTCGAACGAGGTGATGTGCTGCTCCCCGAGTGCGGTCACCAGTAACTCTCACGAAGAAGCTGGTAAAGAGGGATCCTTGCGGCACCCCTCGACTGCATGCGACGCATTCCGAGCAATTTCCGCCCACAACTATGCGTTGAAGCCGCTCACTCAGGTAACTAGTGAACCATAGCTGAACAGTACCGCCGACCGCAATGTCGGATAGCTCCTGTGCCTAGATGGTGTGTTTGACACAGTCGAAAGCCTTCGACATATCCACGAATATCACACCTGTGAGTTTGCGCTCATACTGCGCTTTCAGCCAGCGATTGACAGCTAGCACAAGAGCGTCCTCCGTACTGTGGTTCTTCCTGTACGCGAATTGGGAGTCAGGGAGAATACTGTGATCGGTCAGAAAGGATGTAAGCTGAGCTTTGACAATCTTCTCGAGGAGGCGAGAAACGACTGGTAGTAGAGAAATAGGTCGACACGCAGTAGGCTGACAAGGGTCAAGGCCGCCACCTTTTAATAGCGGTGACACATTAGCAATTTTAAACTGATGGGGAACAAACCCCTGACCTAGCGAAGTATTGAAAATCATGGTGAGCGAGGGAGCCAGTATTGATGCCGAGGTTGTAAGGACAATACCTGACAAGTCATCATGTCCAGTCGCTTTTGACGCGTCAACGGACTGGAGAAGGGCCGTAATGTCCTCTGTCGAAACAGGCGCAAATTCCGTGAATGCTGGTGCTTCACGTTTGGCTGGTGCGTTGGCGCACAGCGCGTCTGGTCGTCCAGGGTCATGTACAACTTCGCCAAAAGTGCGGGAGAGGATTCCAACAGGTACTTGTGGTGGGCTTGAACTTTTCGCTCGTCCAGTCACCATGTTTATCGTATTCCAGAGCTTCCGTCCATCCTTTCCGGCCGACTGTAGGCAAGCTTGAAAATACTGATTCTTTAGCGTCCGGTCTAGCTTGGGCGCGGCTGCGCGGAGACTTTGGTGTTGCTCTCGCAGGCGGACATCGTTTGGAGAGCGTGAAAGAAGTCGGTGGGCCTTGTTTCGTTGACGCACAGCAGATACAAGTTCAGGACACAACCATGGGCAAGGTCGGCCCCTCGGCTTACGAGGAGGTTGTAAGGGGGCGTGACAATCTAGAGCAGTAAAAACCTTTGCGTACCATTCGCTTATCATTGCATCAACATCATTCGACTTGCTGAAAATCTCAAGATTGCAGTCCTGCAAGTCAGCGTTAAAGGTTCACTGTACAGTGTACAGCGTGCGTCGTACAAGTATGACGGTCGTGGGGCATGCAACTCACGTGCGTCGTACTAGTACGACGCTCGCGCTGAAGGGGTTAAGCGACCAGCCCATGGTGCAAGCGAAATCAGTGGTTAAAGCCAGGTGGTCTTTAGAACCAGGTCCCACAGCGTCTGTGTAAAAGTGTCGGTGCATATAAAAGCGGTTGTGAAGAGCACATGGTCGCTAAACCAAGAGGTCGCTTACACTAGGTTTTCCAGTCCTTTGAAAGAAAGTAATTTACACTTACTATAACATATCGGCACTGAGCTCAATGTACCATCACCGTTGCACGTAGCTGATGAATTCCCCCACAGAAAGTATGTATGCTCACATGTAAACCGAACAGCAGCACCATATTGAACGAGTGAAGCATTACTCATACCATTTTGTATAACTGGTACACTGCAATTGAGAACTGTACATAAGGTCAACAGAGAAGAAGAACAAGAAAATGAAATTAATTATCCCCATTCCAATCTCGGCCTTAGATTTTACGACTTCGGCGATATTAGTCATTCCTCGTAAACTCCAGATGGCAGTCTTGAGTCAGTCAAGTGGCAAGGTCGGCAAGAAGTATGTGTTCCTCTTTGGAACAACCAACATCGTGTCCAATCTTGGCCTTAGAACATTTTCGGCTCGTACTCTGATGCACTGCCAACTGGTTGCTGCGCTTTCATTCACCTTCAAGTTGACCTACCTTCCAACAACAAGCCCATCCTTCCACCTCCAGCCAACCCCCTCACCAGTGGGTGGTCAATCCACTAGGTTAGCCACAGAGATGGCCAACCGGCACCTGCTCCAACTCAAGTCAAAGTTGCCCGTGAGCTCTCATAGCAGCCTCCAGGGTTACTACGAAGACTGCATTATTCCCTGGTGGAACAGCCTACCAGAGACCATTCTACTAGCACGGCCACAACCCAGACTGTTCCAGTCCTTCAAGGAAAAGTGCAACAGGTATCTGCTGGACCTGAACTGGCAAACAGCCGCCGACACCCTATGCAACGGATTAGACCAACACCTCATTAGCATCCTCCCCCCCCCCTCTCCCAACCACAATGTGACGTTATCTTTCACTCTGCTTCTCTCACGACCAGCTTCCCATTGTCCTTGTTGCTCACTATTATTCATTTCCCGTCCTCCTCCCCTCCCTATGGTTCTACTACATTATAGCACGTTTTGTCTGTGAAGACGTTGAGACCTTCAAGGTCGGTAGAGCAGCCTGGCCCTGCCACCACTTCTCGCACATATTCAGGAATATAGTGGACTTTCTTATAGAAAAAATAAAAACAAAAAAGGAATCATGACGGTGGGATTTGTTCGTTCATTGCTATTTTAAATGAAACGGTTATTTCCCCGTCAATTATTTACATACCCGAAACGTCCTGGCAATACTTACTAATGCAGATTGGTACCGAAGTAAGCTTGTTTCTGATGGTGCAATTTGGTGTGCTATCCTCCTCGAGCAAAACCCCCTTGTTGCAAAAATAGATCCTACCTGTAAAAGCTGCACTACTTGCCTGGTCCTCCGCAGCTGCTCTGTGTGTTGCCACAGCGCCATATCACCTCTACCAACCCCAAAACCCGCAGCGAGCACGATAGTGTCAGTGGCCATGACCACCAGCTCCAACACAAGCTGCCTGCATCTGCCCCGCTGGCACTGAAACGCTCATTCCCACACTGCAGCATCAGCGATTGGAACTCCCTCCCTGCCGCTCTCCTGTCCCAGCCTCCCCACAGCAAGATAATGCAATCATTCAAAGGAATGTTTATCGCCATCATCGCAGCATAAACTGGCTCTGGGCAGTCCATTCCCTATGAATAGTGTGATGCTGTGATAGTTTCTCCCCCACACTCGCTCGTGTTAAGCCTTGGGTTTTTCGCATCTTTCTGACCTGTACAGCTCTCTCTTCCTTTTTATGTCGCAGTAATGTAGTTAGTGTGTGTTAGCATCCACCGATCACACTGCCATGTTGGCATCTGCCACGCACCGCTGCATCAGTGCATTGCGCACTGCACTCACACCGCCAGCGCAGAGATTTGGGCACGCTTAGCCTGAACTCTCTCTTTCTTTCTTGCTGTTGGCTTCACTTCAAAGTCTAATTAGTGGTGACTTTTAGCTTGTGCCAGCATCAAATTTCCGGTGCCTCGTATGGAATCCCTTCAGGGCCCATTTCTTGGGGAAAATAGCATTAAACACAATAGGGTCCTCAACATTTAACACCCAACCAGGTCTACGGGATTCTACGGGGTTTCGTGCATCTGTACAACGTGCATAATGCTTATAGCAGGTACACTGCATTCGGGAACTGCACGCAGAAAAAAGGACAACAAGAACAATGTTAAGCCTAGTTCACATTCGACAGGGCGCTTTACTCATGCCAGTACGTAGCCTGGGTGAAGAATTAATCACTCCAAATTGTATAGCAGACACACTGCAATTGAGAACTGGACATAAGGTCGAAAGAAGAAAAAAGAAGAAGAATGGAAATTATCGAGGACAGCAAGGTGGAGCAGGATCCGGTAGTGGGGGATGAGAGTGATACTGATGAGGACTCGTTCGATATTGCCAAGAAAACTTCTGCCATCTACAAGCATTTGGTGTCAAGTCCGGATTATCGTACTTCAAAGTAAGTTGTTTGGCGATACCTGGTTTAGTGTTAATTGTTGCGCATGTTTCTTTAAGCAGCTACAGGTGTTGGAAGTTGTATACTTTCGTACAAGTGACCCTGCGCTATGCACGCAAAAAGTAAATGTTGTAGCACTCACACTCTTCAAATAATACGCACTCATCATTTTCGTCCACACCCACCCATAGCTGCAACAATTATCTACTACTACCATTCTCAGAGCAACTGCATGAGCTCACACTACTCGCGTTATTCATAACCACAAGCTGCTGCATTCTCACACTCCTGATCATATCGTTCAACACACATAACTGTTTGTTTTGTGATTCTTATTATGCGAGGATGCTGCACTGATGATGGTCACGAGAAAACGTTCTGGAATTTTTCATTTTAATAAGACGTATATCTAATATTGACACAAAGGCACACAATGAAAACCTTGGCAAATTTATTCCGTTGTGACTCAGAGTTTCATGGCTGAACCAATCATCAGACAACGATAATGGAATAGGAGGCGGCGCTGGTATATCTAAGTGGAGAGAGGTGTGATAATACGATAGCGAGAGGAGTGATCGCGTGAATGTATACAGGGACGGGCTATTTCAGAGGCAGATGCAGTAGGCGCAGGTCTAGCACTAACAAGTACGCGCTTAATCTCGCTCACACACCACACACACACATACTAACACGCACACACATAGTAACACCCACACGCACATACACACATACACGCACACACTAACACACACATACACCCACCCACAACACCCTAACTTGCACACGGGCGCACGCACACACAGGACACCCACCCACCCACAACACCCTAACTCGCACATCTAATATTGACTGAATCTGAGGTCAGTATAGGAAATAAAGGCGAGTAAAAGACCGAGGCGAAGCGGAGGTCTTTCACGAGGTTTTTATTTCCTATAATGCCCAAATACGAAGTAAATATTTGATTTATCACGACAAACAGTCTGTATTTCAAATTCCAGAACGATTACCTCACGATTCCCAGTTTTGGGATAGCACAACCGTTGCACCATCACCTACTCATACAGTGACCATGCTGCACTAGGTACCGTTCAACTGCGCAATCCCTTTAAAAGCAGTCAAATATCAGCAGTCAATATACCCTGAGGGGTGAAATGTGCAGGAATATTTGACTTCTTAGGTAAACCGAAAATAGCTGGGAGTCAATACTAAGAGAGTGATAATTTGTATTTGTATTTATGGATTCTCCACAGGCCTTAGCCTAAATCGAGGGTTAATACATGGTCATGAGTACACAATTGGTTTTATTCATTGCTATTCAAATGGAAATTATCCCTATTTTTGGCTGTTCTAGTGAGGGTATTTTCCCTGGCTGAAACTCTTTGGGACTCAAGAAATAAAAAGTTCGTATTTGGAGTATTATAAATTTATAACTTTTCACTATTATGTTATCCATCCGAACCCTTACCATCGCAGTAGGGCACTGAAGTGAGGTTTCCATCAGCTGTGCAATTTGGTGTGGCATCACCCACGATCCCCTGACCCTCTTGGCAAGAATAGGTAACATTGTGCGTGAATCGGACAACGGTTCTGTCAGCAGTTCCATTGGCAATGACAGGTACGTTACAGTACAGCGCTGTGCACAGAATAACGAAAAGAAGAAATGGTACATATACTATTTTAGCATCAGTATCTTGTTAATTGAGAGCGCTTAATGTGAAATCTGCGTAGAGTAAAATAAAAAGTAAATTCTCATGAGAAATAATAACAATGCGAGACTCAGAGAGGGTGAAGTGCAAGGAGTATAATGAAACGCCTGTTGTCCAACAGTCGGTGTCGTTCAGTTTATGATGGCACTTGTTTCACAGTTTTGTGCTGTGCTCGTAGGTTAAGTGAACTTAGATTATTGAAAGCTGTGTTCATTCGCAAATATAACCCCAAGCTATGCATCCAGAAAGAAGATGTCACTAAACTTAGACTAGTCTCTTAGCATTCACACACACATACCCCCCCCCCCTCATACCCATGTGCGTACTCCTTACACTTCACCCTCTCTGAGTCTCACATTGTTATTATTTCTCACCTGCTCATCATATTCTTTCTCTCCGACCACCCCTGTTAGTAGTTCACACTTCTCTAGTCTTTCGCACTTCACCTTCTTTTCTCCTATTTTCTTTCACATGGTGCATTTCGTACTCTTCCAAGTGTCCATTGTTGTCTATTGCTAAAGAAGAGGTTGTTGCTGCCTACATGGGAGCTCGCGGTTTCCCTGTCGACTTGAATTCTCACTTGACTAACTCACGCGCCTCCATGAGCGACACTGACTCACCTTGCTATCTGGTGTTCACAAGATGTTTGTCTTGCTGGAAACGGAGCATCTCTGTAAGTTTGTATCCCTGGCGATGTTTGTGCCTGGAGAGCACTATATAAGTGGTGCTTTTCAGGCACAATCTTCCTCAGCCTAGTGGTGAATTTCCCGAAACAGTGTGTATTGAGCAGGGAGTGGTGTGTTGTAAAATGATGTCTTGTTTTCCTGTGTGATGGCCTTCCCCAAACTGTCTCATCTAGTCTCGTGCATGTGTGATATGAGCATGCAGGATTTTGTAGTCGAAAGTCCTTTTGTCAGTTTTCTTGTTCGTCCCTGTCAGAGCAGTTTGCTTTTCCGTCCGATAAAAATAAATAATGTAACAAACAAGACTTGTCCTTTGTGCCCTGCATGTTGGGGAAAGGAAGGGCTGTGATTCCGTAACAGGTGCTTTCTTGCAGATTTGCCAAGCGGACGGT